TAATTATTAGCATCATTTTTTACTTTCCATTCTTCACTCTAAAAGGCTATTCTTAAGGCTTCAAGATGTTACAAGATGCTTGTACAATATTTTGTTCATTTCTGTTTTTTATCTACGAGCATTTAGACTTTTCATTCGGTTGATGCATAATAATTAGTGGGTTGTCAAGATATGCCAGTTTCTATTGGTTCTTTAATGGACAAAATAAATTTGAAAAGCATATTTTAAAAAAATTTAATTTCATTTATTTATATTTTCCACAAGAACACCCTCATTCAAACTCATAACTGCAACTTCGATATTATTTATTTTCCTTCAACACGTCCAGCGGGATTCAATCACTCTAAGTTACGCAATCTTAACGGGAAACTCATAACTATTGATACGAGATTCCCTACAAAATGTGAATTTGGAGAGACTTTATTTACTTTCAGCCTTAATTTCCGTTTAACGCAATGGAATTGTGCTCAGGAGGGCTAATGATTAACACGTTACCTTACGATTCCTATCTCGCTCGGGATGTCCATAAAGCGAGTTAGGAAGTGCAATCTAATTTGGAGTTGAGAACAGTTTTAAGATTCATGGAAGAGCGAAATTCCCTGCAAAAATTAAACATTTTCTTCGAATGGCTTTGTAGAATTGCATCAATTAATGAATCTAAACTGGCTTACATCGATTACACTCGGCCTCCTTGTGGCTTCGGAACGCCATTTATTTGATAGCCTCCTTTGGAGACTAAGGGCCTAAAAATCACCATTTTTTACTATAGAGACCCTTAAAATCGTTATCAGACTATTAGCATGGCTTTAATCTCAATTCAGGGCAATAAAGATAATCCATTTCTTACACGAGTCTTGTATATCCCATTGTGCTATGCTCATAAGACCCAGAAACATGTGAGATTCTAGTGCAGTGTTATTATTTTTTCTCTCGTAATTTGCATTGCCTTGTTTCAATCTATTTTTGATTTGCCTTTTAAATTATTATCTATGAAACAATTTTTTGTCAAACTAAAAATATGTAGTGCTTGTTCTTTTCCTTGTTCATCATAATTGCTAGCATCACCTCAAAATATAGAAATGAAAAACAACTGCTTTTTCATAGTATTACTAGAATTTGTAATGCACACCACTCCGTTTGCTTAGATTTCCCCTACAATGCTGCAACTCATGTCACTGTCCTTTTTCTGTGGTCTAACCTTAAAATCATTTTAAAAGTACAATACTGGAGTATTTTTCATTTTTAATTGTACTTTATATCGTCTTTAAGACTCTTAGACTAACTACTGTAGGGCTGCCGATACTGCTTTACGTGAAACATGAACTAGTCTAAATTACTTATCTATTGGAATTCATTCCAGATGCCTTATTGATGAGACAATGAGTTGAGCCATCAAAATAAGTAGGTTCCCCTTGCAGACATTTCCCACCTGACTTTTTCTTAATATTTATTGTGCTCTATAGGCTTCAAAGTGAAGGCCAAGCCGAATCTACTCAAACAGGAAACTCATAGTCTAAATTGCGCACTCCGCATCCTTTTCCACATGACAAGCGAAAAGTGGGCTCAGGAGGAAGCTGTGAGTTTTTCTATCTGCTCATGTCTTTATTTAATCTCCATGCCTTTTCATGACTCGCATTTTAATCTTCGGATTTACTGATATTCGCTTACATTTATCAACTAGTATCTGAGTGGCAAAGTATACCTTGAGGTCTTATATGTGAAGACAACCTACAGGGCTTAGGACAACTGGAAAATTGTAGATTCACAAAGCTTGACTAGGGCAATATCAACTTAGGACCCGCTAAACTTTTGTAGTGACCTATGGCTCAACACCCTTGGGCACAGAGATCACGTGAGTGTATGGCTATTCCCCACCAATCAAAGCTTACTACCACATAATCCAATCAAAAGTTGAAATGGAAAACTACGCAAGGGTATGTCAGGCAGCTAACACAATTTATGTCGGCCACGTTTCCTCCCCTCCTCTGTGACCCGCAGGGTTTAGACTTTTATATTTCGTGCCGTTTTTCATTGATTCTCTTTTTATTGTCAGTCCCCCATAGTGAATTCAACTGTTTCTAAATAAGGCACTTGTATGCTGTTTTTCCTTTTCACTCTTCGTTTCGGGACATCCAACTTGAATTGTAGAGTGCAAGCGTTTTTTATTTTATAGACGGTCCACGTCCCCTTTGGAACACTAAACTCTCATTGGCACATTTATCTTAATCTTACTAAG